AACGAAGCAGCGTAGAGCGCGGAACAGGATCACCCAACTTCTTGATGCAGATGGGAATGTGGTGGAGGATGAGGAAGGTTTGGTAGCCATTGCTACTAGCTATTTCAGAGAAATATTTCAATCGTCGAACCCCGAGGAGATTAAGGAGGCACTTTCTGAAGTAACCACTACAATTACACCTGCAGATAATGAGGGACTTACAGCTCCAGTTTCGGAGTGGAGGTGAAATTAGCTCTTTTTGCTATGCATCCTGAGAAAGCTCCTGGACCTGATGGAATGACAGCTCTGTTTTATCAAAAATTTTGGGACATCGTCAAGGAAGATTTAACTCGTATGGTTAATGAGTTTTTATTCCAAGGAACTATTCCGACGGGACTCACGGATACTAATATTTGTCTTATCCCAAAAGTTGACAAGCCAAACCAGATGAGTCAACTACGACCCATCAGTCTCTGTAATGTTTGTTACAAGATTATCTCCAAGGTATTATGCCAAAGACTGAAGAAGGTTCTTCCATATAGGATCTCTGAAACCCAGTCAGCCTTTGTTGCTGAGAGACAGATATCGGATAACATAATGATTGCACAAGAATTGTTTCATGCCTTGAGAACAAAGCCGAGTGGTCGCAACAAGAGGATGGCTATTAAAACAGATATGAGCAAGGCATATGACCGTATGGAATGGTCTTTCATTGAAGCCACCATGAGGAAGATGGGGTTTTCAGAAGTATGGATTACTTGGATTATGCGATGCATAACAACAGTTAAGTATAAAGTACTTATGAATGGACAGCCTCGAGGAATATAGTCCCGGAGAGAGGTCTACGTCAGGGAGATCCTTTATCCCCTTTCATTTTTATTCTATGCACGGAAGCGCTCGTTAGCCTTCTTAATCACGCAGAGAGTCAGGGAAAGATAACGGGGATGCGCATTACACGTGCGTGTCCTTCGATATCCCACTTGCTATTTGCTGATGATAGCCTGTTCTTTTGTAAGGCGGAGCCCCGTGAATGTGAAGAAGTAATGAAGGTGGTCAGGAAATATGGACAGGCATCTGGACAATGCATCAATTTTGACAAATATTCTCTACTCTTTGGTAAGAGGATCGGTCAGGTGGCTAGGCAAGAGATCAAAGATACGCTTGGGATACAAAATGATGCAGGAATGGGAACCTATCTGGGGATACCAGAGGATATCAGTGGCTCGAAATGCAAGTTGTTTGCCTTCTTAAAGGACAAGCTTCGACACCGAGTGAATGGGTGGACGGGTAGATGGTTGTCTAAAGGTGGAAAAGAGGTTATGATTAAGTCAATCTTGTTAGCTCTCCCAACATATGTGATGTCTTGCTTTTTGCTCCCTTTGGAGATATGTGACGCTTTGGCTAGTGCCATTGCACAGTTTTGGTGGAGTTCAAACCCACCAAAGAGAGGCTTACACTGGACTACATGGGATAAGTTATGTCTACCTAAAGACGAGGGTGGCATCGGATTCAGATTGATACATGAGTTTAACCTGGCATTGCTGGCAAAACAGCTGTGGAGATTAGCCCAAAACCCGGACTCATTGGTTGCTCGTGTTATGAGAGGGCGATATTATAGATCAAGCACGCCTTTGCGAAAGCTTACTGTCAGCAGCCCATCGTATGTGTGGACAAGTATCTCGGCTGCACGTGAATTATTGTTACTAGGGGTTAGAGAAAAGATTCATTCAGGGTATGAAGTGAAGGCATGGGAGGATCCATGGATTCCAACAATCCCAGCGAGACCAGCACATGCAACAGCCCCGGTTATGCATCCAAATATGCGAGTGAGTGATCTTATCAATCAGGAAACGAAAGTCTTGGGACTTGGACAAGCTGACAAGATATGTCGACGTGGATCATATACCTCTCATACGAAGTATAGCTATCAGTTCGACCTATCGCAGAGCACTGCTGGAGTTACACTAGGAGTGGACAATATACAGTTAAGTCTGGCTATTGGGTAGCTCGTAATATGCTTATGAAAGAGGATGAGATCTTAGTAGACGAACCAAGCTTTAAAAGGCTCCAAGCACAAGTTTGGAAGGTTAAAGCGCCCCCAAAGATGTGTCATCTTATGTGGCAGATTATATCGGGGCATGTGGCTGTTACGAGTGCGCTGAATCGCAGACACATAAGGTGCGATAATGTCTGTCCACGATGCGGAGAACTGGATGAAACAATTACACATGCAATATTCCAATGTCCACCAGCTTTACAAGTATGGGCCCTGTCATCGATTCCAACCAGTGTTTCTTTATTCCCTTTGGAGAGCACTTATTCGAATATGGATTATCTGTTCTGGCGGAAGAAGAGTATTTGTGGACTAGAACTAGACAGAGATCCTTTTCCTTGGTTGATATGGTACATTTGGAAGGCTCAGAATGATAAGCTGTTTAGAGGTATTGATAGGGATCCTCTAGAATTGGCCCGGTATGCAGAGAGCGAGTGTCTTGCCTGGTTCCAGGCTAATGAGCAGGATATTAAGATTACACAAGAGGACGGAGACACTGAGCGGCAGGTCATAAGCCTACGCAACATTTGCATGATAGATGGTTCTTGGACCTCTACGGATCAATTTTCTGGATGTGGATGGGAGTGGAAGGATAGCTTGGGAAATAGTCATCTGATGGGGATGCGTAATGTGAGCAAAGTGGAGTCGGCTTTGCATTCTGAGCTGGAGGCGCTGCGGTGGGCAATGGAGAACATGCTTCAACATTCGCTATGTCAGAGCTTTGGGACGGATTGTAAGGATTTGGTAGCAATGCTAAAAGACCCTCACGGATGGCCAAGCTTTTCGACGGAACTAGAGAGGATCTCGACATTACGGATTTGTTTCTCAGATTTTCAGATTTCTTATGTACCTCGAGTTCTAAATACTGTGCCAGATCATTTAGCTAAGACTGCCCGATCCTTTTATCGGGATCTTATGTATGTTGGTTGTTCTATTCCGGTCTGGCTCCCCAGACCACCTCAAGCTTGAGTAATAGATCAGCCTTTCGTTGTCAAAAAAAAAAAAAAAAAAAAATGTTATGCACTCCCACTTGCGTCAGCATAACTCAGAAGCAGAATCTTGAAGATCTACTAAGCTCAGTTTCAAATATTCAGGGGCACTTTCTCTTTTGTGAGCAACGAACTTTAGTTTAGATTTAGCAATTTCTTTAGCTCAATAATACCAGAAAAAAAAACATTATCAAAACGCCCAAAAAAACTATTAAATCAATCACTATCCAGTTGTCATCTTACGGACACTAAGGTCTTGGAAGAAAGGATGATTGTTATATTTTCGTAACCAAAATCACTATCAAACACCACCGTCTATGACCATGTATAATTTGACTGCTCAATTCAAACTCCAATACCCATACTGAAAGCTTTTCTTAGTTATGTACTCAGGTAAAATATGTAGAATCTTTTTTCTTTTGCCATCTGCTGTACCTATTACCACCTAGAATATACAACGACTGGAATGGGGAAGGAACTATAATAGTTAGTAATATAAATTCAAAATTGGTTATCAGAAGTCAAGAAGAGGTAGTGAGTAAGTGACTATAAACTCCAAGCTGCAAGAAAGATTTAAACACGGAAAAAATTTTCCGTTTAGATTTAGCTATTTGTTTCTTCTGGTCAAATAATTAGTTATATGATACTGTATTACTAAGTTGTCAGTTCACTCCTGGTTGAGCATTATTAGATATTAGCTTAGTAACTCAGACGCAATGAAATACATAAAAAGATAAATCGATCAACGCAATTTAAGGCATCTGAGTTGTACTTTTGGTGTAGTGAATACAAACCAGGTCTTCGCCTGGTCTACTCTCCCACACAGGAAGAATCTTTAATTGTCACAGTATAAGAAAAACAATATTAAAGCAAATTAGGTCAACTGATCAAACAGAAATTCCAAATCCTATTGTCCTTACCTGGTGTTAGTAGTGAATATAGATCCACAGGAAACATTACAAAAAAAATCAACACTCACCTTTTATAGCAAATCACTGTCGTTTACAGGTCCCTTGAATCTTGCTATAAAAGTCAGAAACATGCGTGAGTGAGTCTATTGATTATATTTACTCAAACTCTTTTTGTTTCTAATTTTCACAAAAAGTTTGAACAAAAGAAGGGGAGACCATATTAACATAGAACTTGTTTTATAGTAAAAGAGAGACTGTGTAAGAAAGTCAGCAAATCCACTGATTTCAATGATCAACTATATCTTGTTAATTTAATGAAATCAATCTTAGAGCATACCTATGTGAAATCTGATATGTTGATTGTGGAACTGGTTTCACCGTCTTTTGAGAGTTTCCCAGCTACTGCCTGAGATAATCAGAAAAGCATAACTATTTATTAGTAATGCAGGGATGCTCAATCTGGCTGAAATTTAAACAGATTTTCATAACCGTTACTTGAAATTCCGGAGGCTGTACCTAGTTTGAGCTGAGATTCATATTGTGGAGCACCATTAGCTGAATGTGGTTGTAGAAAGTGGATCAAAGTGAGATTCAAGGAGGAGGTTTATATAACAGGAGAAACAAAGGGAGGATAAAGGATATCAGTTCTCTCATGAAGATATGATGAATTGAATGAGGAGGAGTGGGTGGAATAACAAACCTAGATGGAGATCTGCAGAGTTACGGATGAAAAAAAAATTGAAGCAATGAAGTAGATGGGAAAGTGGTAGGTCAACATTGTGGGTTTTAATCTAAATTTGAAGTCCAATTGATTAGGCTCGTTTTGTACTATTTGAGGAGGATATGTTAAAATAGTGTTTTTCTATTAGTTTGAATTTATATGCATACGTGGACAGTTTAGATGTTGATTTTATTCAACTTTTATTATTGTAAGATAGTCTGTACATTTTAATTTCTTCTTGTCACAAGACATGTATCTAATCAAAATCTCTTCAAAAACACTTTCCTCACAAGGAATATGAATCCCTCCTTCATGTTCATACCCAAACTCGTCAGCTACTTCATCCATCAAATGATGAAAACCCTAAACTCAGGATACTCAAGGTACTTGGTTGGTATCACTAACCTCTGCATCTCATCACGCCCCACGTCGACCGCAAGATGCCCTCTCGGGACACCGTTTTGATCTCTCGCTCGTCTCCTACCGTCTGATAACTCCCCTGAGATAAGACGCTCCTTCATGTTAGTTTCAGACCTTCTCCTTCGTCTGTTCTCTTGGTTCTTCAGACGTACGATGAACTCTAACGAAATCATTTTTGTTGATAGAAAGATTCAAAAAGATAGCAAAAGCCAAACGTCTTTAGAAAAGTTTTCAAAAAAAAGAATCATTTATATTATTCGATAGATCATAGATAACGGTAAGAATCTTCTTAAAGCTGTTATCTTCATAGGAAAGAAAAATAAAATAAAAACAAGCTAGGCTTATAGAAAACCGTAGTTGTTCTTGTTTATTTTCTTCTTCTTTGTCTTTATTCGTTTTAATGATCTGTCTATTTTCTTCTTCTTTGTCTTTATTCGTTTTAATGATCTGTCTGCCTTTTATGTCTTTTTTTTTCTTGGGGAACAAGCTATAGAAGAAAGACTATTGTTAGTATGAACTACAGTTGGTACGAGGTTATTATTCAATGAATCCAATTTAAGACGACTTTCGCGTTATCATGTAAAAATAGTCATCACTCATCTCCACACATCACATGTTATGCAATAACTTTTATATTTATAAGTCGATCACATTATTTTTTGCATATAATCTAGGGAATTTACACTGGATATATACATAGATACAAATTTAATTAGCTAAACGGACCTTAGTCTATAACTCTTTAACAATATCTCTCTTTTTCTATATATGCCTCTTTCTCCTTCTCTCTTCTTTCTAATTTGACCCTTAGAAATTTTCTACCCCTTCCCAGAATAAAGATCTGTTGTTTTTCTTGGTGAATGATCTTATTCAACAAACTCTAACTTTCTGAATCGGTGCTGATGTTTTTCCAGAAATGTTCAATTTTCTCAAAATTCACATCACCGAATTTTTTTCCCCAAATGTAGATCTCTTCCCATCTTCATCTTTTGTAACCTTAAATCTATCTAAAGTTTGTATCTTTTCTATCTCGGTCTCTATTTTCTTTTTTGGTAAAAAAAACCTGTCACTAAAACAAAGAGAAACGTTCGAGGTAAGAATTTTTTTCGGTTCCTCCTTTATTAGATCTCTCATTAGAAGCATTCTTTGAGTGAAGAATCATGATCTTAAAAAATGAGAAATTTTCTTTGACAAAAAAGCATTCTTGAGTGACACAGATGGAACATCAGTCTCTATGGAAGCAAAGAAAGTCAAGAGCGGTTCAAGAGAATAGAGGAACATGGCCGGTCCTGGACTAAACCTAATGAAACATTGGCATAATTTAAAAAAGGGCTTATTTGTGTAATAGCCATATTTGGACGTGAAATTAGGTAGATAGCAATGATTTTGACATAATAAAGAATCTAACATTTTCATCCAAAATCATCCGGTTGTACCCTTTTCCCTCACAGTTTTCCGGTAAACACATGATCTATCTGATACGTATAACAAATAACATATGGCCAGAAGTGACTGAAAACTATTATATATTAAAGAAGGATAATACGCCACGTTACACGTTATTGACTTCATACATATGCACAAAATTCTATTCCATATCATCTAAATAGTATAAGTCTCAAATCTTAACATATTTCTCAAATGTTGATATGGCTATGCTTTCAGGAAATATGGTAATGCTTGCCCTTATGAGAACCCCAATCGTATGTGGTTCTCAAATGTTGAATTGTACCATCTGATATAATATAGAATATAAATATGTAGAACGGAACAGATGGTCAGATGGAATGGAAAGCGACTAGTATAGTAGTTCAGATGCGATTCTTCAGAAATAGCAGAGAAATGGAATGGCACGTAACTAGCCTCTAAAACTAAGCTTTTCCATTTCAAGTAGCACAGGTTCTATGGACAAGAAAATAGTATAAACCCTCTCAAAATAGTATAGAATTGCATATCTATTTTATTTACATCGTGAGTCAATAAATTTGAGGAATTGTAACCCTTGTCTGAATGAAAATCATATTACAAATGACTGTACAAAATTACTTAGAAGGAAAGAATATTATTGTTTAAATTTGTTTCATTATAAATTACAAATATTTTCACACCTGAAACAAAGTTTAATACATAAAAAACTTACAAACTACAGGGAATGTAATGCACAAACATTACAAGTAATGCACAAACATTACAGGTAATGCATGACACCCATTTTCAACAAGCTCCCCAATTGCTAAGAGTTAAACATCGCCAAATGATTGTCATCTAATGTGGTTTCAATGAGGTCGATCCACCGTAGATTCAAATATCTATTAACATGTTTCCTACCCGTTGGCTCAAATCCTGTTTCAAACAATCTTATTAGAAAGCTTAATTCATCCATGATAACCTGATAACAACGTGGACGACAGAGTAGAAATATTGATACAATAGCATAAGAAAAATTTAAATTATTCTATCTTCCCTACATTGTTCTATACTATATATTCTCCAATATCTTTTTAAACATATGTTTTCACTGTAAACAATAAATGTGTGGATACAATACACACTAAGGACATATATAGTATGGCCTGCAAATATTAAATCCTACCCAACATAATAAATACTAAAACCCAAGAAAACTCGTTATTACTAAATCTAAACCCTAATCACTGATCTATAAACCCAAACATAATCTATATAATATGCTGCAAATGGAACATCTACTTACTAAATCTAGTAGATAGTAAATAGAATAGAAGTGTCATTTTACTCCATTTTGGTTCTTAAAAATGCTTAAATACTAAAGCGCAAGACAAACTTGTTATTACTAAATCTAAACCCTAATCACTGATCTATAAACCCAAACATAATCTATATAATGTGTTGTAAATAGCTCGTACTTACTATACATAGTATGGACATTTATAAATAGTATAGCAGAAACATTTTACTCTATTTCTATTAGCTCTTATTGTGCTTAAATACTAAAACTAAAACAAACTACTTACTAAATCTAAACCCTAATCATTGATCTATAAACCCAAACACAATCTATATAATATGATGCAAATTTCTCAGTATGTACTAGATATAGTATGGAACGTCTATAAATAGAATAGAAGAGACATTTTACTTCATTTTAGTTCTTAAAATGCTTAAATACTAAAACGTAAGACAAAATATTTATTACTAAATCTAAACTCTAATCACTGATCTATAAACTCAAACATAATCTATATAATATGCTGCAAATATCTTGTACTGTACTATAGATAGTATTGAACATTTATAAATAGTATAGCAGGAACAATTTACTCCATTTTTATTAGTTTTTATTATGCTTAAATACTAAAACCCAAAAAAATCTACTTACTAAATCTAAACTCTAATCACTGATCAATAAACCCAAATAAAATCTATATAATATGATACAAATTTCTCATTATGTACAAGATATAGTATGGAACATCTTTAAGTAGAATATAAGAGTCATTTTACTCTATTTTAGTTCTTAAAATGCTTAAATACAAAAATGTATGACAAACTTATAATTACTTAATCTAAACCCTAATCACTGATCTATAAACCCAAATATAATTCATATAATATGCTGCAAATTTATTGTTCCGTACTAGATATAGTATGTCAATCGTTTCCATCTCTAATAGAATAGTTTAAACATGTAATTTTTCTATTCTATCTCAAATAATATAGTCATAAGAGATCTCAGTCAGTGAGCCGAATTGGTTATGTATATAATGGTATATAGAAATGAATCTTTATGTAAAACTAAACAAGCTTGGATAACAAATGGAAATGTATAAGATATAAATATACAATTCCATGTAAAATAGAAGCTATGCTCTCTTATTCAATTCCATTCCATTTCGCATGGAATAGATCTACAACAGACCGTACTATATATAGACAACTAAGAAACTATGTACTGCAAACACTATTCCACACAACAATCAATCTGAGGATAATAAACACGGTTATGTATCTCGCATTAAAAACCCACAATTCAAACTTAAGAAAGAATAAGAATATACATGGGAACCCTAACCGACTATGAAAACAGATCCGAAAATTTGATTTGAGAAAGTTGTAGATTTAACAATTATAGTATCCTAGTTCCGAATAAATCCAAAATAGAAGATAAAATAACATCAAATAAAGAGAAGGGAAAGTTAAAACCAAAGAACTTACGGTGGGTGTAGAGATTCAAGAAGAATCGAGTGTGAGAATTGGAATTGACACGGATTGTTGAGCGGCGCCGCTGCGGAGTTACCACCATCGATTGTGAGCCGATTTCAGCACTGGAGTAGAGGCCGAAGTTGATAAGCACGAAGGATACATGAAATTTGAGGGGAAGGAGGTGAGACGACGAGGTTACTGCATTCTCTGAGACCTTTCAATTTTGAGGAAGGAATGAAGATAAGTGAAAAGAAAGATGTGGAGGACAATTACACACGATTTGTAACTTTACATCTAATGATTATTTTCTTAATTTTTTTTTTCTGCAGGTTTCACCGGTTGAAGCAAGGGACAAAACTGTATTAATATAGAAAACTAACGGTGTGAGTGGATCTGTTAGGGTTTTTGGCTAGTTTGCCAATTAACTTTTTTTCTCTTGCTATATAGCCCAATTTCCCTTTAAAAAAATTGTCTTAGACCCCCTAATTTTAAGGGCCATCCCTGTAGAAGAAGAAGACTTATTTTACAATGCATTTGGAGTTATGAAATGATATTGCAGCATTACAAGGGCTTATTGATTGCAGCGTAGATATGTCGTCGTCAGATATGGTCATATCAGAAAGCACCAAAAGCATCGTAGAGACCATGGTAACACCGGAGGTATGCACCACCAGAGGATCCTCTTCGACAAACTCAGAAAAATATCCGGTTAGACCATAATTTAACCGGTTATATTCAGTGTCTTATTTTTTTACATAGGAATTTGAATTTTTCATCAACCTCATTACCACCTCTCTGTATTCATTTCCCAGAGTAGGGGTGGGCGTTCGGGTACCCATTCTGGTTCGGTTCGGATCTATTCGGGTTTCGGATTTTCGGGTTCACAAATTTTAGCCCCATTCGGATATTTCTAAATTTCGGTTCGGGTTCGGTTCGGATCTTTGTGGGTTCGGTTCGGGTTCGGATAACCCATTTAAATTATTTATAAAAT